CAGACTTTTTTGTCTTTCTTATCGACAATTGTTAAGTCTGGGGTGTTATGTTGCAGGTGCTTGTCTGTTTGAATTCTGAAGTCCCAGAGCAGTTTAATTTTATCATTTTCTATGACTTTCTCTATTTTATGATCCCACCAGTTTTTGCTTACAGGCAAATGATATTTCTTGCAGATCTTCCAATGCACCATTGTTGCTATTATTATTATTATTATTATTATTATTATTATTATTATTATTATTATTATTATTATTATTATTATAAAAATAAATTCCAGATTTTAAACGAAATTGTCTCAAACATTTTAGCCATGATTGAGCCCCTTGATCATTTTGGCTTCCATCCTTTTGTACCATTTCCAACTGTCATGTCATGTCAACCAACAGGCTATGCAGTTATTTTTGTTTATGTAATTTATAAGAAATAACAAAAGCTGAAGACTGGAACGTGGGAAAAATCACTGCATGTATGTCTACTATTCAGTAGGATCAACAGTAGAATAGGGAAGGTGTTCGACTAGGAATAGTGAAGTTCTGTTAATAAATGAAGGGCTGTGGAGTATGGTTGGATAAAACATGTGAGGCTGCTGCAAAAATAAAACATGGAAAAGAAGAAATCTACAAGCTCAGACCTAAGCTTTTTAGAAGGAAGTGACAAGAAAATAATGATCAAGGCCATAACTTCTAATTTAGCTCAAACAAAATGCTAGTGGTCCAGGGTTCTTCCAAATTAAAGGATTTTAGGAAGCCAAACCTTTAAGAGTTGCCACTAGCCAGAATTATGTCCCCGATAATCAAATAAATCCACTCACTATAAAGCAGATTCACACAGGAATGTTTCTATTCCAAACTGTTAAGATATCTGAATGTTAATTTTTTCCTTGCACAGTTAGATATTTATTTTTAAATGTGTATTTGAATTTTGGCAAATGCCAGTAAGGCAAACCTCATGGCCTGTATAAGATGTACCCATTAGGCCATCCATGAATAAAAAAAACCCCATGATTTCCTGAATCAACATTTCTTTAACAATATTGAATATTGTGCATGCTGAACATTTCAGCAACACCTCTTATTATAGTACATAGCAAATGAGACTTTTTGTTCCAGTCCTGTCCTTCACCAAAGGAAACCAACCCTGTGAGAAAAACATACCTCTACTTGGGTTATGTAATAACAAATACCAATGCTGAACACACAAAAGACAAACTTGTTTCCCATTAATTAAAATTCATTATCTAAAAGGAACATCACATTAACTGTACTGGAGAACTGAGCTTTTTCTCCCTAAACAATGTGTTACTAAGTTAAGCTGATAATGATGAACACTTACATTAAGAAAGAAACACTATTCATAAAATAGACAATGCAAATAAAAAAAGCCTGCTGTTAATACAAAGAAATGGAATTACAAATTCTATGAATTTAATATTAAAATGCTAACACATTTTATCTTTATGCCTAGGCTTTTTTAAACAAGGAAGCAAACCAATGGGATAATGCATATTTTACTGCAACCTCGTTAAGTTACTGCTAGCAGCTGCAGTCTGATCTTTGAACAAAGCTATGAAAAATATATTATCAGTTTAACAAAGAAAACGAAAACAAAATCAAAGTAGTAGCTTTGGAGGCAAGTCATAAGCAAACAAGATAAAAATAATACATCTGTTGTGAACAGACTTACGAAATAAGCAGTGGAAACAGATTGACAGATAACTAATGAGATACCACCCAAACAAACCGCTAAGGATTTTCACACAGGATTTAAACCAAGCCTAAAGAGCTCAAACTCACAGATTTAGTCTGGTAGTAACTGCTTATTAAATACACTTATAACCAATGCTTTTTTTCTAAAAAAAAAAAAAAAAAAAGGTGCTGGAACTCACACATGTCATACAACCTGCCTTGCCTATCCTACAAAAAAGGTGCCGGAACTACGTTCTGGGCATTCTATGAGAAAAAAAGCCCTGCTTATAACTAAACTAAGAGTAGACGGTCAGATATATGTGTGTTTAAGCTCCTGAGCCAGGATATAAACATACATACTGCATTCTCAACCTGCTAACAACAGTCACATTCTGAAGGAAAATTACAGCTGTTTCATTCTATGTTCAAAGTAAAGTGTGATCTTTGTTGATTAATTTTCCTGATCAAGGAGTGGACAGCTATTCTCTTTGCTACTGTAGTCTAAACCATTTATTACTCCAAACACAGGGCCTTTCTTTCCATTCCACTTTGTTCTCCTATAGTGAGTAGCAGAAGGATGCAATTAATGTGGACACTCAACAAAGGTAAAAACTACATGAGCATTGCTATAATCAGTCACTGTATGCCCTGATCTGGAAATAGAAAGTACAGTCCTAGAACAGTCTTACAATGGAGGAAACCTCACCGAACACACTTGAGACTTAACGCTTGTATCTTAATGCTAATGCGTAGAGCTCCTCTGTCTCAATGGCTGAACACAGAAAACTTTTGTATCATCAGCACTTGGAGAATAATAAAAAAGCTTTTTGGTCTGGGATATGTCATTTTAAGGTTCAAAACAGTCTTTTTAAATGACAGGGCATCCTTCGCTGATATACATATATATTGCACCACTTCAACTTCTCCACCCTACAACTGGTGAAGGATCAGAAAAGTCAAACCCTTAATTAAGATTACAAGTCTGATGCAGCCTCTGTCATTTTAGGATGCCGTTTCACAAGAAGACATTATGATTTTAGATCTAATTAAAGGGCAGACTAGCAGGTTATGGGTGGGCCACTATTTAAAAAGCTTAAAGTACTTGGGTCGACATTCAGTGGTGAGGATGTTTCAGGAGGAACAAGAGGAGGGGGGGGAAATCTACTCACCTTTTTTTGTTTTGATTAAAGCCCGCTGACTTGCGTTAGAAGCGTGTGGAATCTCTCCCTCTGTGCTTTGAATCTGCAGGGAAAAAAATCAGTGCATTTTTAAACCTATGCTTGCAGGCAATAAGCTTTCTAGTGAATATGCATGGTATTTATACCTTGCATAACTGGCTATTTAGTAATTAACAATTCCAAATACAATAAGCTTGGCAAACCAATGGAGTCCATTATTGCTGTTTATTATTGGTGTATCTTGTTCAGACTTCCTGGAGTGATAATGCTAAAGTTGGAACACACAGAAACAATAAAATGTGAAAAAGCTGTGACATCAGTAATTTAGGATAAAAGGCTTTTTTAAGAACAATGAGGCAGACTCAAAAAAAAAAAATCAGCGGCATATCCCATGAGGTTTCCTTTTGGAAAACTTTTAGGCAAACAAACGCAGAAAACTCAGTAGGGGGGGTGTCGGGGAAAAGAAGGTTCTAGTCTAACTGAAACTCAAGAAAACCATGATAGCTAGTTTGTACATTTCACAAATGTCTTGTTCAGAGGCTATGTTAAAAAAAAAAGCAAGAAGAGAGGAAAGGAGAAAAATATATTCAAGATAACGCTTCTATTCTATCTCCTAAAGAAACATTTTAACTTTCTCAGTGCTCCACAAAACTTCAAGCCTAAATAAATACTTCTGAAAAATTAAAAGCTACCCCAGACTACTTTCATTTTTCGTTGATGCTGTGTGTCTTTTTACTGTTTTACTACATGAATATGGCAGATTCATCCTCCAAAGATTACAAATCTAAAACACAATGTCTTACACTGGGAAATACTGCAAGGTTCAGTGTGCATGCCCCCCCCCTAGGAAACAACAAAAAGAAACTAGACAGGAAGTTTTTGTTTAAAGAGGAAAAAAAAACAGTGCCCATTTTTGGATGTACACCACAAGACAACTGATAGAAGCTCTCTGGATTAACTTGTTCCTTATGAAAAAATGATAATCCAATTAACTTTAAAATATTTTGGATTATCTGGTCCAAAGCTACCAATCCAAGGAAGAATAGCTATGTTTAACAACAATTGAGAGCTAGGGAATTGTGAATGTACAGAATTTATATGCTGAAAAGTCGTATTTTCCCTCCTTCCAAAAAACAAATAAATACCATGAACACACGCCTGACAGGAGCATAAAATGACAAGCTTACAGCATAAGATGTTGGCTGAAGTCCCATTTATATACAATGGACTACATTATACATAACCTATTTAGTATCTGTGAGTTTGCCTTTGGGAAAGAGAAGCAACTGATCCACCATGCAGCCCTCCTCCTCCTCCTCCTGCTCCTGCATAGTCCTGTCCCAGAAGCAGGTGCCATTTTGGGAATGGCACGAGCCGCTTCATGCATGCCATCCTGCAACAGGACCTTCCTGGGAGTGGCTTGCAATTCTCACAATCTGAGAATTGCAGGCGCTTCCAAAATGGTGCCCACTTCTGAGAAGCAACCACACTGCCTCCATATAGGAAGGCCACATGGATTAGCTGTTTCTCCTTCCCAAAGGCGATCTTTGGAAGTAGTGTGATGGACCAAGGCATGGAAGGGTGGATGGGAGCCAGAGGGATGGGAAGCAGAACGGGGTGCCTCAGAGGTAGGGGAGGCCCTGGGAAGCCATATGTGAACTGGGGAAGTGCTGCAGTGCAGGCCTCCTAGGGCTTCCCCTATCCCCTGAGTGGAACTCCGTGATCCTCTCAACAATCGCAATGGCGAGAGCAGGGAAATATGAACTCAATTTAGGGTCATAAGTCAAGGACCACTTGTACTGCTTTTTCTTTCTCCCTTTGAAGTTCCACTTGCCCAAGTATCTTCTTTCCCCAAATCCTGGATTCTTCTTCAAAAACTGTGGTCCTTTTCAATCATTGTGAAGCTACCATTTTTTATTTTGAATAGTGTTATTGTTCTTGATTTTATCTTCAGAGCCTTTCCCCAGGCACAAAATGAACTAGTTCACCTCTGAAGCTTTAATATAAAATAGAAGTGCTCTCAATATAATCTAAGTAATTCAAGCAGTATCTTAAATAAAGCACAGAATATGTTTGATTTCATTGGCTTTTAGGTACATTTCCTTGTTATTTGTCCTCTCAGCATTGTAGACATAGGAAACATGTCTTCACATTTTTAGAAGCCCTCTAAAATCTAGTAACACATGGAACTATAAATAGCCCTTTTAATTACAGAGAAGGTTATGTTCAAAATGTGCAGACAAACTGCAAGGACAAAACCTTTCCACGATTGTTTTTAATCTAGAGGTAGTAATTAACATAAACTTGAAACTCTATGGTATTTAATTCTAAGATTCCAATTTCAATCTGGGGAATTTCAAGACATCTTAACATGAGTGATTATTATTCTGGTGTTTTTTTAAAATATCTTACGGAGCAAAAAAAGGAAAGAGAGTTCCAAGAGACAGTAAAAAAGAATATTAGTCAAGTCTCACACATTTTGCCTCATACAGGTTGTTTCAAGAGAACCGTAAAAGAGGAAGATGAAAACATACATCAAACATTACGTTTGTTATACTGTGCAACTAATAGGTCAGAACACTTGCTTTTTAAATTAAAAATATAAACATTGTATTATTATATAATTGTTACATTATAGAGACACCTAAGTATATCTAAACACTGCTTATTTAATCTCCTTGAATCTAAAAAGACACATGATTTCATAAGTTGGCACATATTCATGCTATTAAGAAAAAGATTTTTTAAATATAAACATGTGTCAATATTTTTGAAACCAACATTTAAAAAAAAAAATTGTAGAAGTGAATTTTTAACAAACTTGGCTACCTGCTGAATAACAAATAAGATAGTATTTTTACAAATATATGTAGCCAATAGTAAGACAGCAATTTTAAGATGTTTTGATTTTTATTTTTGACGGCACGACTAAATATTGGCTGATCTGTAAAATATGACCCTTTGATGATCTGAGACAATGAGGGGAGCTGGACAGAGTAGGCCTTTATAATCTTTGTAATGGTGAGGCACCAGACTTGAAATGTGAAGTTCAAGTCCTGATTTAGGCATGAGGCCAGCTGGATGACCTTGGCCAGTCACTTTCTCTCAGCCCTAGGAAGGAGGCAAAGGCAAACTACTGTTTGAAACCTTGGGAAGAATATTGCAGGGACTTGTCCAGGTAGTATCTAGAAATAACACTAATTGACACTATCTAAAAGAATCCCTAGTAATATTTAAAATATGATAAGAAAAATGAAGATCAACTATATTAAAAATCCCATTTTAATAATTGTCTCACACCAAAAATGTCGGAATGCTTATTTCTGTTGTCTTTTCCTTCTCCTATAAGTTTCCGTTCATTTCAAAGGACTGCAAAAGTTTTTTAGATAGCAGGAATTCAGCTCGACCTGAGAGATTAATTTTACTTCAGTTTAGTTTCATGTTGACACTGGAGTTAATACATGCTTAATACACCTTTGCAACACTGGTATCTTATTTATAATTTTCTTTGAGGAAAAGAGCTATACTATATGTGGGGATATGTTGGAGTCTTTTCATGAAAACTTCTGTCCTCAGAAGCTTTATCCAGCTTGTATTGCTGGTTACATTGTAGAGTCACGAACTCCAATTTTCGTGAGTCAGAATTGTGTTCCAAAATGTAATCTAATGCAATGCTATTTGTCAAGTTGGAATAGCTAAGAGATCCATCACGTTTGCTATTTCTGTTTCTTTTAAAAGGTTCTTTGGATTCTCAGAACAAAGTAATATTTGTCACTCCCTAAAAGGAAGATTAAGCACTGATTAGATCTCTACTATCAGTCAGAAGCTGCATGCAGGGCAATGTGAGGGCCTCTACTGCATGAATGGACTGGGTGCACCTGACACTCTTGTTTGCCCAGCATAGAGAAATAGCTCTCCATACCAACATGGGAAACCCCTAGCGAGCACGGTGGACTTATTTGCAAGGCTGAATTGGAAGTATTCCCATTTAGTTGTCTTTATACATCCTGCTATTGAGGCAGAATGATTAAACTACAATACGAAACACATACCAAAACAACAGTCTTGTTGTCAGCCACAATATGCTAGCAAGTGGATTTTGACTTAATTCTGAATACCAGTAAAAAGGGAACCATATAACTGCTAAATGAATGTGTATGTAGGATCATGATTACTTTTACTACACTATCCACATCAGGCTTACTCAATCTGTGTCCTTCAACGAGGCTAAACTCTCATAGTTAGCCTTTCACCCTGACATATTATGGAACACATCCAGAGGGTGCCACCTACGGGGGAAAAAAATCCTATACAGAATTCCTACTCGCTTATAAGCAACTATCCACACATACTTCCTGTGTGAGACTGGAGACTCTACCTATTCAAAAGTCCTTGATCATACACAACGACTTATTGACATGCTTAATATTGATAAGGCAGGAGTCAGAATTTTGGTATCCCTGTCCAAATATTTTGGACTACAACCTCCACTGTTCCTGCCCAATGGCCATACTGGTTAGCCTGTGGAAACTATAGTAAAAAAAAAAATCTGCAAGGCATTCAGTGTTATATACTTGTTGAATATGAGTAATGTTGGAATGGTGTAAGAAGCGTTCCAAGATGAGAGTATAAAAACATAAGAAGAAAAATCACAAGAGATGAAACTAAGAAAAAAATAGAAAAATGTGACTTTTCTGATATAAAACCAAAAAGAAAGATACCCTTTCAAAACTGCTATTAAGAGGTGCCAGGTTGGTTAAGCAAACTCCAAAGTCTGCACTGCTTTCTTAAGGGAACCTGGCCCCCTTAATTCACAACTCCATTTTCAGACACTTCCTCAGCTCTAAGTTGTTTTTGGTGATAAAATTGCCTAGTTAAATTTTTTTTTCATAGCATACATTCTGACAATACTGCTTTATTAAAATAGAAAATCTAAAATCAAAGGACTTCCTTTCAGGAAACTAGCCTATTTTCAAGATACCGAACTAAAGCATTGTGTTCTTGTTATCACTATTTAAAACGAACAGAATAAATACTATTGACATGAAAACGGTTTTGAGCTTCATCCAAGGAAGCAAAATAGGGATATTTCAGCATGCAATTTGCAGTAATATCTTCAGAACAGGAGGGAACGTGGAACCAAATATTAGCTCCAACTCCTTTTGGCCCTGTCTCTGAACATTATATTCTGGTTCAAGATAAACACCCCAAAGTAAAACTGGCTTTAAATGTGGAGAGACCCTTGGCTGAAGATAGGGACGCATCTCTGCCAAACTCTAATAAGTCTCCACGAGCTTTCCAGAATATGGACTTTCCTGATGGAAGGCAGCAGCAAATTGACTTTCAACTAGAAAAGTTACTGGCAAGTAGACTTCCTTTTTGAGGTTCCAGGATGCACTGAGGGAATATCTCTTTGGGATCTTGGGAAAACAGTAAGACAATACACTTCCTATTCAACTGCTACTGGTGATTTTTTACATCTAAGTAAAGATGGAGGGAGAAAGAGATGTTAGAGGGCTCAAGTTATTAGTTATTCTAAGTGCTATGAGCAACACTACCATATGGCATAGCTAATTGGGCACAAGCAGTGCTTTTTTTGTAAAAAAAAAAAAAGGTGCTGGAACTCACACATGTTATACAACCCGCCTTGCCTACCCTACAAGGTTCCATCCAAAAAAGGTGCCGGAACTCCATTCTGGGCGTTCTATGACACAAAAAAGCCCTGGGCACAAAAATTAAAATATGCGCTTCAACCATAACATGGAAACTTAAAATAGATTGAACACCGCTAGTATACTCCCCAGAAAGGCCAGTATAGCCATGACCTAAGCCGGGGGGGGGGGGGGAGCCAACCTTGGCTCTTTTATGACTTGTGGACTTCAATACTCAGAATTCCTGAACCAGCCATGCTGACTCAGGAATTCTAGGAGTTGAAGTCCACAAGTCATAAAAGAGCGAAGGTTGCCTACCCCTGACCTAAGCCTTTGTTTCCAATCCCTCTGTGTCTCTCTTCCACAAACACACAAATCTGAGGGCCTTTAAATATCCTAGGTAGATTTAATTGGGGGGGGGGGGTCTGTTCAGCCATGTGGATAGCAGCCAATTATCACATCTGAGCAGATTCAGGAAGTATTCTGAAGAGGAGCTATCTAGTTTAACAGCCATTTGTCTGAAATGGTATAGGGTTTCCTGCCTGAGCAGGGGGTTGGACTAGATGACCTCCAAGGTCCCTTCCAACTTTATTATTATTATTATTATTATTATTATTATTATTATTATTATTATTATTATTAATTACCCTGAATATAAATTAAATCCTATGAGTAAAGCCATTCTGACTGATAGGTCAGTAAAAGAGCTGGCCAAAATTATTTGAACTTGCTCAACAATACAAAGGCCTTTAATGTCTTCATAGCTCCGCATGTCTGCTTTGAACGTTTCCCCACTGTCTGATTTTGCATATGCATGCAAACACTACCATGTGCATGCACTCGGAGGAAGCAATGGGTTAAATGATGAAAAGTACATTACAGTATTACAACCAAAACTCTATTCATTTTGCGTATGTGTTGTGGCATCATACACTCATACATAAAAGACAGACCCTTAATTATGGTATCTTGTGCCACAAATATTTTTCTTTTTAATTTGGCATCATGATTCAACAAATACTTCCACAAACTGCATTTATTTGCAATCCTCCAAATGATTTTGCCCAGCCCAAGTCAATAACCCCATACCCAAAGAATTAAACAGCATTCTTACTTGAGAGTGCAGAAAAATCTCCTTTTCTTAAAAGCGTAACAGATACCCATTTGTGCAAGCCACTTTTTGGAAGAGAAACTGATGAAGAGGTACACTAAGCCAATCACTTTAGATAATTTAGATCATTTTACTAAAATTTTGCATGAGGAGTGAATGGCAAATTTAATCACATGGAATACACAGAGGTATTAGAAATCCTTGCTACCAGGAGAGATATTGGCAATAAGGCAGTACATGTCTCTGCTGAAAGTTAAGCAAGGCTGTAAACCCAAAGGTGCAGCAACAAGCAATCTCAGGAGAGGAGGTTTTGGACCTGCAGGAAGTTTTCTGGTTTTTTTATGTGTGCACTAACAGCTCTCTTATGGCATACCATTTCTTGGGTGTTCCTGGACAACAACAGAATTGGAGGCATAAGCAGGATCTACTGGTAGATTTCTGGTTCATTTGCATTTGATTGCCAAATGTTTTTATTTTCCAATCAGACTGTAGAGATGAAAGAAACTTTGGAGCACTGTTTTATGCAACTCAACGGTGATCCCATTTCTAATGCAGAAAATAAGCTTCTGACCCGAGACACTGAGTCAGAGGTATAGTAAATCTTTTAACGGTAAACTGCTTTAACTGCTTCATAAATGAGACTTCATGGGTCTCCCTTTGTTCCTTTTTAATCAGAATTTCTCCACCAAAAAAACACAACAACACTCAGCTTCTTGCATGCCAGATCACCAGAACTGCCATTTTGCTGAAAAGTTCAGAAGCAAATTCTGATTATGCCATTTAGTTTTCTCTTCCCGTCTGTTTCGGAACTGAAGTTTCAGATACTGAAATCTAAACAGAAGCAGAAATGGCCTCTATGCATTTGAATCAGTTCTGCCACAGAAAAGAAAAAAGACAGATGCTGGAATAGGAATGCCATTGGTAAAAATCAAAGTAAGATCAGAGCAAAATCAGGCAGCTTGCAATAGCAGAGTTAAAGAACAGGGAAGACATAAAATAGAATATTTATTTATCGTATTATAATATACTATGTACATAGAATACATATACACTTCTCCTTAATGTAGCATCCATAGGAAACATCTCCTTTTAAAGCTGATTTCTGTAAAAATATGACAATTGGAAGACAGATAAACTCTAAAATGCTGGGAAGCCGAGATTTGTACTCAATAACAAGTTGCTACCTTCAACTATAGCTGCACCGCAATCTCTAAAACTACATACAACACACAACTGAAACATTAACCGCAGCTCCTTTAATAGTCTTTAAACAAAACAAACCCCAAAGCAAAAAGACATAGATGTCTCTGCAAGGCAAATTACTACTGTTATCAATGCATATAAACATCCATCTTACAAGCCATTTGCTAGGTCTCAGTTTGCAAAGGCGACTCCGTGACTTCATTTGCTCCTAGGGCTCTGCTGGAGTTTCTTGTCCTTCCTTTCCCACTGGGGGATTAGGCGGTTGGGGTGGGATAAGGGGCTGATCCCATTCCCTCACCCGCCTCTGCTGCGGGCCACAGGGTCAGAATCCTGCCTGCATTTCTATTTGCAACCTTTGCCCTGTTTCCCTCCACCCTTCCACATCTCCTTTGCCAATATCAATAAGGATGCCAGCACAAATGCATCCAATTGGCTGAGAATGCAGAGGCCAGAACTCCTGGGAAAGCTGTGCCTTGACTCACTCTCCCACGCTGGCTATCTTGACAGCAGCAGACTTCCGACAGAAGCCCCAGCCGCAAGGACTTTGGGACAGCATGGAAAACTGTGCCCTCAATATCTCTCTGCCATGATACGTGCAAAGAAAACATTCCAAAGTCAAACTTGGAATGAAGAAAAAGCAGACCTTTAGGGCACTCCCCACACTGTCTCATAGTGTTTTTCTATGCCCAAGACAATTAGAAAAAAAACAAAAGAAGAAAAAAAAAAGAAAGTGGAACTTATCCTCATTTCTGCCATTAATAGTTAGGTTCCTCACTTCTGTGAACTAACCATAAACCCATAAGCATAACCTGGTCACATTATTTCAGGCATATTTCTAAATTCCTAAATTTATTGGTCAAAAACAAATGAACCCTCGTATGTTAGCCTGATATGAGAACATCATAGTGAGCAAATATTTTGCAGTTTCAGAAGAGATCTAGGGTTTGGATAAAAAATAAAAAATGGCGCAGCCAAGAGGCAAACAAAGGTGTTTTAATGCCTTCATCAAAATTGGAATTGCTTAGACTTGTCACATGAGTAAAATTATTAGCATTAATCATGTCAGGACAGAGATACAAATAGTATCCATTTAACATATTTAGGGATGAAATCCAGTAACTTGAAACATACCTAGAATAAGAATATATAACTTGGAACTCTACAGAATGTTACGACCAAATTCAAGTTGTTACAGCTGGCATAAATAACAGAAAGGAATGGTGTAAATTGTAGTCCAGATTATCTGGAGAACACCAGGTTACTTATTCCTGACCTAAAAGGATAAAGCTTTAAATTCATCCACTTGTCTATCTAATTCAGTATTACCCACACTGGAATAAGAGCTTCTCATTAAATTGTAATAGGTTGACAAGCCTGTTTTAGAATTTAAAATATGGTTCTTATGTAAGTCCCACCTAAAATGAACACAAATCACGTCGTCAGTTTTAATAGTCATATGGAGCTCCAAAGAGCATAAATAAACAAATAAAGTTAAGAGGCCACAGGCTGCTACATCTCTAACAGTAACTAACAATAACAAACATGCTGTATCTCTGGCTGGTTTTAAAGCACAATTTAAACAGGAGCATCTCAAGAGTATAATCTTCCTTCACATTAGTAACCCCAACCCCTTTTTATGACCATACCTATAGATGAAATGCTCACTAAAAATGGATTAGGGTTGCACATGAAGCCATGAAGGTTTAAAATTGTAGTTTAAGATCTTCTACACTGGGTACCAAAGAACCATTTTAGCAGCTTATCAAAACTCTGTATCCAACATTTGTGTGGTCTACGGGGAAAAACAACTCTCGAAAGTCCCCTACATAGTTCTACCAACATCTACCAGGTACCAAACTGGAGAAAGATTGTGCAGAATATGAAGGAGAATCAGCAGGTGAGGAACTACAACATCAAAGCAACAATAATCCTTATCTCTTTCCACATACCTCCTCCATCTCAAAGGAGTCCTTCTGCTGCAGCATGAGGCTGGCAATAGACGGAATGGTTAGTGGAAGAGAGGCCTCTTTATCAGCCACTGAAGTTGCAGGTATTTGAATTGCCCTGATATCTAGATGTTCAGAACTAGTTGACTCCAGAGTATCACCTACGAGAGTAGAAGAGTTCATAGCAGCAATCTTTTCATGAAATCCACCTGAACGTCCAAAAGAGTTATTATTTTGCTTATCTTCATAAGAAATAGAATAACCTTGAGTTTCCTGTTGAACGCTAGTGCCAGGAGAAAGTTCTGAAGAATCCAGAGCTCCTAGTAGGCTGGACTGATTGCAAGGTGCTTCTTCTTTTACTGTTGCCAACAAAGATGCTTTGAAGTGTTTTGGAGTTTTCACTTCTGGTTCTTCACTCCCATTTTCAGATTTGCCCTTCTCAGTAGATAGACTGCTGCTGCCATCTCCCGCTTGAGGGTTCCCATAGAGATTGAGTTTAGACAGAGTCTTCATCAAACGATTTGCTGTGTTACTTCGTGTTAGAGGAGGTGGGCTGGATGCCTCTTTACTGGAAGAGATTGAATTCATGCTCCCAATTTTCTGCAAGGGAGTGCCAGAAACTTGAGAGTACAAGGAAGAGAATGCATTGGCCACAGTAGTAAGCACTTCAATCTGACGAAAGCGGCCTGGCAAAAAGACAAAACCAAGTGACAAAAAGAACAAAGGGCAGCCCTGTACAAGTGCAATATTGAAACAACAAATGAACTTGAAACTTGTGAAGTTAAAAACAGAAACACCAGAACATCAGAACCAAAGCCAAGTCC